AGCATCGAAAATTCTACTAAAGCTAATTTACTCGAAAAACACTGGATGCCACCTATAAATTATGAATTTCCTTTTTGTGTGGTCACCAAGAATAGTAAACAAACCAAAAAGTACGCTCAGAGATCTCATCTTGATAAATTCCATTGGCTCGTTTTATCACACAAAGACCAGGGGCTGTATTGTAAATATTGTGCTCTATTTGCTACGGGCTCAGGTGGTGGAGTTCAAACAAATACGCCTCTTAAACGGTTGGTTAAACAACCCTTAAAAGCTTTTGATGATCTACTTGGAGAAAAAGGATCACTATTGACACACCAGCGAAATAAATATCACCAAATGTCGGTCGAAGCTGGGAAAAGTTTTCTTTTAAATTATCATAAACCTGACCTTAATGTTGCTAACCAAGTCTGTAAGCAACGAATAGTGCAAATAAAAGAAAATAGAGATCGTTTGAGACCAATTGTCAGTACAATTATATTATGTGGCCGCCAAAATATTTCTCTGCGTGGGCACAGGGACGACGGAAATACAAGCTTAAATTATGACGAAAATGAGCAAAATAGTATTGTAGCAAATCAAGAGGGGAATTTTAGAGCTCTTCTAAGATTTCGTATCGAGTCAGGTGACTCAATTCTGCGTCAACATTTAGAAACAGCAAACTCCAATGCAACGTATATCAGCAAAACAGTGCAAAACGAATTGATTGATACGTGTAAAGATTTTATTCAAGAAGTTATTTTAAATAGAATAAAGGAAGCAAAATTATTCTCAATAATTTTTGATGAAACAACTGACATCTCTCACACTGAGCAGCTGAGTCTCTCCTTTCGATATTTCTACAATGGAGTAATCAATGAGGACTTTTTAACTTTTTGTAATGCTTACGAAATGATTCATATTGAGGACGCAAGAACAGAGCGTCGATTAACGGGCGTTGCATTGTCACGTATAGTAGAAGATCTTTGCTTTAAATTTGATATCGATTTGGCATGGTGTGTTGGCATTGGTACAGATAGCTGCTCTGTGATGGCTTCTGAAACTAAAGGCGCAGTTCATGAACTTTCTAAAAAAGCCACTAACGCTAAGCGTTGTCCATGCAACAACCATATTTTGAACAATTCATTAGCAAAATCTTCAAAAGTTACACCTTGTCGTAATGCATCAACAACTATGAGGAAAGTAGTAGCTTTTGCTAATGCTTCAGCCAAACGACACAAAGTCTTTGAATAGGAGCTTGAAGGGATGGCTGTACAAGGAATATGCGAAACTCGTTGGGTCCAAAGGCATGATGGACACTTACAATTTCAGGGCAATAACTTGGTCAAAATGTGTAATGCTCTTCACAGAATTACAACTTGGCAGGACAGCAAAACCGCGAGTGACGCTCAATGTCTCCGACATGTTTTATGCAGTTCTGAATTCATAATTGCATCTGTATGTTTGAATGATGTCTTAGGTAAGTGATGATTTATAGATTTGTAAAAACAATGTGATGACTGCTTCGTTTAATGTATAAATATTTTACATTTTAGGTACAACAGTGTCACTTAGCCGTTTTCTTCAGACTTCGTCGATTGACTTAAAAAGGGCAACCGATGCAATGAAAGACACTATTCATATTCTTAAGCAAAAGAGAACCGAGAGTGATTCTGTTTTCCAGCAACTATTTTCGGAATCAAAAGAGATTGCCGAGCAGTTGGATGTGGAGATAAGATTACCGATAATTGTTCCTAGACAGAAGCACCGTGAAAATAATCAGCCAGGTCAATCTGCAGAGGAATATTTCCGCAAAAGTATATATATTCCTCTCTTGGATTCAATAATAGTCGATTTAGAAGAACGACTATCTCCAGAGGTGCTGTCATTATTTCAGTTGGGTGTCTTTTTACCAAAAACTGAGTACTCAGAAGTTGACTTGGTAGCCGTACGGGAAGCTGTTAAAATATACCAAAAGCTTCTACATAGTCCTCATGTATCTATAGTACTGTCGGAATTTCAGCTTTGGGTTACAAAATGGAAACGCGAAGTAGAAAGTGGTAATAAATTACCCGAGTTCCTACCTCAGATAATAGAACAATGTGATACAGATTTATATCCAAATATTCGTGTTCTATTGCAAATACTCGCTACACTCCCTGTAAGTGCAGCTACAGCGGAGCGATCATTCTCTACTCTCAGGCGTCTTAAGACGTGGCTTCGTTCAAACATGGGAGAGGAACGCCTCACCGGTCTCGCTTTACTCAATATCCACAAGAAAATACCCGTAAATGTCGATGATATAATTTCTAAATTTGGAAAAACCAAACAAAGAAGGTTAAACTTTGTAATTTAGTTTTAAAAACTAAAAATGTTATAATATTAATAAAGTACGAATTTTAATTAATAATTTACTTTCATTATTTTGTAATTGTATATTATCTGAAAAAATGACCCCCCCCCCCAAATTTAAGTTCTAGATCCGCGCCTGGGGGGACGGGGGTGTAAGCAAATTGGATTTTGACTTACGTAAATTTTTTTTTGAGATGACGGTGATGAAACTTGAATCCGATGTACGGTTAGAAGTCAAGGAAGGCTTGATTTTATTTGGAGCAGGTGATTTACCCGCGAGCAGGTCGCCGCCCGAAGACGACGACATTTATAGGTACTTTATTACACTAACGAATTGGTAACGACTAACGATAATATGCTGCGATAACTGTGACGGAAAGAACAACCGATCGCTACAACAGCTGAAACGCGACTGAAATTTGACCTATTATCCAATCAAATTACTTCGGTAGTTGAGGAAAATAAGTCATTAAAATTAAGAATTGAGCTACTTGAGTCTAAACTGTCGTCATTTGAACAATCTCAATCCAATAATCACTCTGCCACTCAAGAAAGTTTGTTCTCTGAATTTATGGACCGTCAATCCAGAGCTCGTAACATTATACTATTTAATGTACCAGACCATTCAACCAGTGCTGATCAACAAAGCAACTCTAGTCTTGTTGATGAAATATTTAATGTCATTAGTGTGCCTACTAAACCTCTATCGGTTCATCGATTGGGAAAACCTTCAAATAAGCCTCGTCCTATACGTGTTGTTATGCCTTCATCATCGGATGTTTTTCAAATATTAAAAGTCAAACGGCAGCTATTTAATGTTGACGAATTTATAACATTTTAACAGGCATGGTAAGAAACAATCTATATGCAGTCATTAAGTTTGGACAAGTTGAATCAAGTTCATATTTTTTAATTGCGTTTAAAATATTTAAAGCAGTTGCTTTTAAGTCTGGTAAAATTGCTTTTACTTGATATTTAAAAAATTCGATTTCGTTAATTATTTCCTGGTCAATATCTTCGTTGTATTTGATAGCTAAATCAGCTGCATATTTTTTCAATTTTTCAACTGGTGTAACAGATAGTGAATGAGCAGAAAGGAATTGAAAGTCATCAGCAATATTTGATAATTGTTCAAACCTCCATTTTATTTGAGTCATCATATTATCAAGAACTTTGTAGTATTCCAATGTTAAAAATTGATCTGCAGAAATATCTTCACCCGATGAATTTTCTCCACTCATAAATTTCCTTTTTATTGTCCTTTTGATTTTTAATTCAGATTTTATTCCAACTTTATCACAAATACTAATAGCTTCAGTTTTAATTTGTTCATTTCCACTATCACGCATTTCTTGGAGAGAAACATTTAAACAATTTATCATTTTTGAAGCCTGATCCATTGAAATATTTGAGCTTTGTAATAATTTATTTGCACGATATATTTGATTCAATATTTTATCCCACATAACTAAAAAATAAACAAATTCCAAATCAAACTGTTTAAATATACTTTCTGCATTAGCAACCCATCGCCAAAAATTGGATTGGTAGATATGTCACGTAAAGCTTTTATCACACCGCCAAATTGACAATACAACGAATGAACTGCATCATACTTAGATGCCCAGCGTGTGTCATTGTGCGTTTTGAATGTTATTTTCAAACACCGCATTAGTACTTCCCAGCGACTTGTTGATTCAGAAAAATAGTTAAATATATTTTGTATAATACCGAAAAACGAAATCATTTTTACTGATACACTAGCAGCATGTACGCCGATTAAATTAAGGCTGTTTGCAGCACATGGGACAAACTGAGCATGTTCATTTATCTCTTTTAATCGAGCTTGTACACCTCGATATTTTCCCGCCATGTTTGCGCCGTTATCATAGCCCTGTCCACGACAATTCTTAAAACTAAGTCCATCTTTCTCCAACTTTTGTAATACATCAGAAGCTATTCCAAGTCCAGTCTTTTCATTGGTATAAATAAAATCTACGAAACTTTCTTCAATGACAAACTCGTTATTAACTTCTCTAACATATCTTATAATTTCACAGAGTTGATCTTTACGAGAAACATCCGGGGTGGAATCAAAAATAATAGAAAAGTATTTTGAATTTTTTATCCTCTGAATGATTTCATTTCGTACTTTTGAACCGAGTAAATTTATAAATTCATTTTGGATTTTATTTGATAAATATGTGATTTGCCCCTTATGTTTTAAGTGACTTGATAAAACAGAATCATATTTGCTAATTAGACCAATTAAATTTAAGAATATTCCACAGCCAGGTTTTCCTATATCACAATTAGATCCTCTCAAAGCTAAATTGTTTACGCAACAAAATCTAACACAGTCAACCACGACTTTCAAAATATGTTTCCATTTTTCCTTTTCATTATTAATTTCTAATTGCAGTGCACAGTCAATCGTATTATTTTTATTTAAATTACTTTTGAAATCGGCTCATTTAAACATATTTGTACGGTGTTCATTACTATTCTCATGGTCAGGTATTTTAGGATTTAACTTTTTCCAATTATTAAATCCTTGTTGTGGATCTATTATTGGTGGAGAAGTCATTGTTTTGTTTGCGAAAAGCATACATGGAAAGCATTAGACACATTTAGTTTTATCGCTGTACAATAGCCATGAACGCTCAACTTTTTCACCATTTGGTAAAATTTTTTTTGACCAATTTATTGTAAATCGCCTATTGTTAGTTACATTTTCAGAAAAATAAAAATCAGAGTTTTTGCCCGTCTCGGGACCATGGTTTATCAATAATGTACGAATTTTATCAGTAATTGGTGGCCAAGAAGAGGGATCATTAAAATCAATTTCGAATATTTCTTCGGTAACTTGAGATTCATTTTTAATATTTTTTTCAATCTCCACATTGCAGGCATCAAGTATTTCAGTTTCTTTTAATATTTTATTTTCAGAAATCGATTCATCGGAATTTTCTAATAATTCATTACACACAATTTCCTCTATAACTTCATTACTATTATTCTCATTACAATTAATAGTCGAATTAGATGAAGAATTTCTTTGATTTGATTTATTTATCCATTTTTTCCATTGAGTGGCTAACAATTTATTTTCTAACTCGATATTCTTTTTTCTTTTTTGATTTTGTGCACCTGATGGTTTTTTAGGGGCCATTCTATAAATCAAAAATATACTGCCATTAACTACTGTCATTAACTACTGTCATTCATATACTATGTAGGTTATAAAAATATATCTTACATATCTTACCTTAAATCCTTAAAAAAAAACTCAAGAGCAAATTTGTTTTCAATGGTGGTATACCGATGTAAACATGTAGTGTGTACGGTATAATTATACGAACACGAACAAATAACAAGAAGAACGTGTAGCCCGGTTCGATTCAGATAACGTACTGACTACTGACAACTGACATGACATGGTGATTTGTAAAATGTAAAAATAATATATAAAAGTTAATACCAATAGGCAATAATTTGTATCTGGTTTTTATTTACTAACGCTCATCGCACTTCGCGTGCTCGACGTGCAGTCGATTTTGAGATAAAGAATACGATAATTTATTATAAAGCCAATAATATAACAAGAATAAAACGTTTGGTTGACTAATTGTTACTCCTCAAACATAGTCAGAAATTTGTTCAGAAAAAATTTGTAATGGTCCAAAATAATTGTAAAACAATAATCTTTCTCGTATATTTTATTTATGTAAAGTTTAAAATATTATAAAAAAAAAATGTTTGGCGCCCCTTTAAACCATGCGCCCGGGGCATATGCCCCCTAGGCGCCCCCCACGGCACGGCTCTGGACTAGTAATAATACGTATCGTCCTAAAGTATATCAAAAATAAATGATATTGATTAATTGATATAAATGTATTTTTAATGACTACGCCAACCCAAACGATACCTTGACCGCAGAATAGGAGAAAAATTTCACCTATTCTGTGCCTTGACGTCGAGAAAATTATTTAGACGCAACCGTTTAAAAAAAAATTATAATAAGATACGATATTCATATTTTATTAAATAACGTTTAACTTGTTTCAAAAAAAAAAAAAAATTCGAGGTTTTGTTTGTGTGCCACTGGTTATTTGTACCATAACCTAGTTTATGAATATTCTAAATCACTTGTACTTTATACATTTTCAAAAAAAACTTCATTAATACAGTTCGTCCTACTATTGTACTTTATAGTTCTACTTCATGGAAAGTTCACGTATGATGTCATATGTAATAGGAAAAGTAGAAGTATGGTCACTTCAATTGTATTCGATTCATTGAATTATTCTTCAAAGATTTCAATTCTAGTAAGATGCCTTGTGAGTCTACATTACTGTGTCCACATTTCTTACAAATATTAATATGTATCCTTAATCCTTATCCATGATTTATTTTATATGGAGAGACATAATTTATGTGCTAAAGTAGATTATTCTGAAATATAATGCTACTAGCAAATATACTTAACCTTTTCTTTTTTTGTATCCAGTGTCCGGGAGGGAGCTATGTAAGCATAACTTCCTCCCGGACATTTTTATTTATTTACAAATAAATACAATCATAAAATTGAGTTTCAATGTGACCGTCCCCCATTTTCGCACCCTAACACTTTTTGTAACATCGAATTGAGGGGCTCTATCCTCTCTATTTTGAAATTTGGTCCACACTAAACGTATTGCTATTTTATCTTATTTCTTTTAACTATAAGGTTATTGCTACTGTCATTTATCGCTTTCGCTCCTCTTCTTCGCGCTTTTTCAGAATCCTCTACACCAATCCCGATATCTTCATCCAATTGAAATTTGATGTTAGCATCAGCCCTACTATGTTAGACACTCTGAGTTAGGTTAGGTTATGAAACCTACATAGGCACATGCTTCGCGCCTCCAATTCTCCCAGACATCACAATCGAGGACAGCGTGTTCCGCATCGTCGACTCCATGCCCGTATATCAGGCACAAGTCTGTTTCAGCCAGATTAAACCGTTTAAGGTGGTACGCCTGAAATCCGCCGAGGCAAGTTAGAAATTGGGTGAGATGAAAATTAACCACTCTGTGTCTTCTCTCATGCCATTTTCTAAGGTCCGGAATTAGTTTGTACTTCCATCTTCCAATGAGTGAGACTTTCCACTCACTTTGCCACTTGTCAAGCGTAGATGTGCGGGCGACACGCATGAACTTCCGCTCCTCGGAAAAATAAATGAAGTGGGGGTGTAGAAGTTATTACCGCTACCGCTGCATATGGCATCGTCCTATAGGCGTCATGCAGATAATAGCCAATTGACACTGGCGCGCATAGAAGACAACAATATAAGTTTTGGAGGGCTATTATTTTTTGTTGCTATTTTACTATGTTGTTATTAGTTATTACTATGCTATTTTTATAAGTATTTATATCTATTGTTTTTATTACTATTGCATATATTTGGATGTGATTAATTATTTTTAAATATAATTACACCATAACTTTTAATTATGAACCGTCGTATAATAATTTATTCGGGATTCAAAAATATTAATATTGGTGAATTTTCCTAAAACGTTAAATTTAAAGGGAAGAAATTTAGTGTTATGTACCATGAAGAAAAAAACTGAATGTAAAAGAATAGTTGTAACTGTTGTTAATGAACTTTTAAAAAATTTATTTGAATCATTAGAATTTGAAAAATGTGCTTCCCTAGTTAATACTATTTTAGATAATCATAAGAAAGAAAATTTAACTTTCAATTTTATTTTTAAATACCAAGTACATAAAACTTTTTATGAAAATAATATTAACATAACTAACGTTCAATTTTCTTATATTTTTCAATCTACAATTCAACAATCAAATTCTACAATATGGTTTAGTGAAAGGTCATCAAGGTTAACAGCTAGTAAAGCACTCATGGTTAAAATAAGATTAAAAAATTTTGAAAAACTAGTAGATGATTTAATAATACAAATATCTATGTACGGAAGGGGTCTTCCAAATGTTAAATGCGGAACTAAAAATGAAAAAATAGCTTTAAAAAAGTGTATACATTTATACAAACATGAAGTAATTGACTGTGGTTTGGTCATTCATACTTTAACTCCTTGGCTGTGCGCAGGTCCTGACGGAATTTTAGTGTCTAATAAAAAAGCATTTAAGTATTAGAAATAAAATGCCCAACATCATGTCAAAACAAACCAATTATTGACGAAACAGGAAACTGAAATTTAAGTTATTGAATTAGAGGCAGTAATAATATTATTGAATTGAAAAAGAGGCACATTTATTTTACTCAATGTCAAATATTAATGTATTGTTGTGGTCTCAACTATTGTGATTTATTTATTTATTCTGAAAATTGTAATTTGTAGTAATATTATTACTATAGTCATTATTATTATTACTATTATATCATTATATCATTATTAGTTAATCATAGCATTGATTGGTGGCGCCACAGAACATTGAATAGCTACATTTTTACATATACTATTACTATTGTTAGTACTTTCAGTACTATTATCATTACTGTGTGATTCTGTTAAATAGTCTGATTCGTGTAAAATATTTGAATTTGTGATACTGCAGATGTACTGCAGTTGTGGATGGATCTCTTTATGCGACGATCAAAGCGGTCAATACTCTCTTTTGGTAAAATGATTTGTTTGTAAATAGCAGGAAATAATGTAGGACTATATGCTAGGCTCTGAGGATGTTTGGAATATTGACCACCAATGAAATGAGTGCTATATATTCTGGAATAGGGAGTAGGCTCCCATTGTTTATTATCAGCTCTGAAAAAATTAGCATACCCGCTTGTTATTAATATAAATCATATCTAGATAGTATCTATTAAATCTATCAGCAGAAGCATTACTAAACAGTTAAAACAAACATTACTATTTCACAATGTTTTTGGGTAAACCTACTATATAACAGATATTATTCAGAATATTGACATTCAAATGAAATAAAACAATCAGATTTACTGTAATACTATTAGCTTACTTTGTTCGTTTAATAGCATGTATCCATTTCTTTCTTTGTTCAATGTCATGAGGCTTAGATGGAAATCGAAATAATTTAATTGATTCCGTTTTACTCTGTGTATTTGTGCAATTAACCACACATCACATCTGTTGACTTTTTACTTTTAATTTTCGGCATTACCTTGACAGAGGTTGAAAGGAAAAATAGGTGCAAATAATAAATAGGTACCTAGTAATACTACCTGAATATATTATAAAAAAAAAATGAATAAATTAAGTAATATGACCTAATATTACTTAATTATTAATTTATATATAAAATGAAGATTTATAATATTACTAATTAATTAATCAAAATTAAATATTTAGTGAAATATTAAAAGTATTTTACAATTCTTACTTAACTTATTGTGATAGATTTTGTATATACCTAAAATCATTTATTGTGTTATCGACAGATTGATACTGCTTGTCATAGTTGGTGTTAATGTCATAATAGAACTTGTGGACAAATTCCCGAACATGATCACACTCTGTAGGATAACTCAATTTGAGAGCAAAGAAACTCTTGAAACAGATGTCTACAACTTTTAGTGGTGTTTCA